TGATTGCCCCCATTTTTCAAGTGGCAACCTCAACTTTCGCGGGCAACTTAGGACCATTTTTCAACCGTAGTTTTCAGCCCTTCTGCCCTCATATGAAAGCTTAAAGACCAAGGAAGTTGATCCTGGCGACGATTTACACAATCTCACCATTTTGGGGGCCAAACAATCTCCATTTTCAAAAGATACTGTGGGTGGGGGCACTTTTAATGCTAATGAGCTGGTCAGAAATTCTCACTTGAATTAGTGGTCTGCACCCTTATTAGTTATTTCTCGATTTTTAGAGGGCGCTGTTTATCGAGGAAGTTCCAGAAATATTAATAGAGGGCGCTCTTTGTTATGCTTCTGCTGTACCAGGTGCTAACTGTGCTGGTGCATGCTGCGGTGCTGCATAAGGACATTGGGCGCGTGGATGGACCATACACCGAAATTGAAAGTCGTGCAAGAAAAGGTAAAGGTAAAGATTAAAAAGGAGTTTTTATGGGTAGACACCGTGTGCACAAAGCCTATGAGACTGGTCTGTGCATGTGTTTTCCAAGGAAACGACTTGGTTTTTTTCCCTTAGTAATAGCCATATTATGCAAAATCATGGAAAGAGTTATCTCTGATAAAATTCTTGGGCACTTGGGTGATTATTGTTTAATTTCTGCCAATATGCCTCGTAGATCTCATGTAACTCAATTAACTAGTGTTTACCATGCGTGGGCAGCAGTTAGATAAGCATAACCCACCTGGAATTGATGCTGTGTTTTTAGACATGAGCAAAGCCTATGACCGTATGCCGCATGACATACTTCCCCAAACGCTTGCTTCTAGGTGTATCCAAATGTTTGTTTAATCTTGTCAAATGTGACTTGCGTAGTCATAGAGTAATGGTAAACTGTAGACATTCAGACGTAATTAGCTTTAATCATCTTCAAGCCAGAACTCAACCTTTACACTGATCTCGTTTTCATCTGTTTCCTTGTTCATGGTCTAACCTCCCTGAATATGTTCGTAATGCCATCGCCTTGCAGCCCTTCTCAGGTTTTTTAATGTTGCTGAAAGTGAGGGTTTTCTACCCGGATTTATCAACTGTAGCATACTGCCTGCACATGCATCTCTTTAGGCTAGAATCCATACATTTTTTTAAGTATTGAGGTATCACTATAACTAATATAATTTTACTTACGTCATAGTCAGTCATGGTTCTCTCCTCCCTCGTTTTTATTATATATTTAGTCACATGCTTGTTTATCTCATGTCGTGTTATTTTGTATTGATGCTTAATTAATTGTCATAATTTGTTTATTTTAAACTGGGAAGTATCATTTATTGTTATGGCCAGTTATTGTTTTGTTACTTATATGCCCTTGTCTTAGAGATTGGATATCCTTTTTAATGATTGATTATTGCTTTTTTAAAATAACTATTGTCATTCTTAACAATTCTTAAATGTCAGGGAATTTTTTATCCATGCCTTTTAACATTAACAATGTATTTGCATAAATTTACACATATATATTTAAATATTTTTAAATATTTTTTATCTCACAACTGGATGTGGGGAGACAAGTCTTTTGACTGCAGTGATTTTATTACTTTTGTCGTTCCTGTGCCCATCCCTTTGTGATGTACACTCTTGGCATGAATAAATAATAGTAATAATTATATGCTGCCAGAGAGCCCAGTTTCGGGCACATAGAGTACCTCGAGTTCGGGCAGCCTTAGTTAGCCCAGGTTGGACGACGTCTACATGTACATTGCATTGCGACTAACGTCCGGGGTATAAAAGTCCTTTTACTATGCGAAATTTTTTTCAACAGTTTTTCTCACATTTTTACCTGGCGGAGGCAGCTCAAAATGTCGTTCACAAGTACCTTGTATCCCAAATTCCATAAATGCTGTGCTGAAAGGACTAAACACACCCGCGGACAATGTATTTTGCAGAAAATTCTGTGAAATTCCACGCTTTCCATCGCGATTCATGAACAATCTGTGTCGTGCGTAGCTCTACTGAGTGGAGCATTAGATTAGTTTCGATTTTGGACGGGATCGCCATACTATTACTAACACTCCATACCTGTACATAGAGTAAGGTGAAAACGGTTCTCAAAAATTCCAAAGACTCACCCAAAATACCTCTATCACCGCCTACTGGCTGCCATAAATGCCTACGTCAAATGGTTGGGGCTTCAATGATATTTCTGATTTCAAAATCTGTCACAATCTGACCGTTTTTGCTTGACACACTCACAACACTTAAAATTGTCTCTGCCTCCTCCCGTTTAAATAAGGGTGTGTAGAGTTTCTAGCCAGTAACTCTATGGGCGAACATGGTCCTCTAACGAAATTGCAGGAGAGGCCCATATGTTGTCGGGGCACAAGACGTATTGACCAGGAAATAGTTGGCGGTAGCACTCCCAAATGTCACGATCAATGTTGTGCCCAGACCAAGTATAGGCCAGTTATGCGTGTGTCGGGGAGGACCATGTTCGCCCATAGAGTCACATCTACTTGTCAAGTCATAAATATCAGGTGCATTTGTCTGCGACTAAGCATCACAGTTTTAAAACCTCCATTAGGTTTTGACTAAAAGTTACATACACAACTGTCGGTAAGAATGTAAGCTTTGTATCAATACTGTAATGATGTCATAATAAGCCTACTGCTCTACCATAATCATACGTATCGTATTTTAGCAGTACTGTGAAAACACTGCAGTTGCTGCTGTGCCATTGTTTCACTTGTTCTTTGGTTTTTAATTGTCCAGTTGATGACTTCTTTTACCAGACATGACTTGAAGTGGCCAGCATTTTCTTGAAGTGGGGGAAAAATGATTGCAGAAAAAAGACCAATGGCTGTGGATGAACACCTGACTGATTGTGTTATTACACAGATAGGTATCTATTGACTTTCAATAGGCAGATATCCTAGAATTAATTGACCAGATGTTCTAGTACCATACACTTTTTAGCTCATATGAAACATTAAAATCACTATGTCCATTTGTTTGCTGTCAGTTGTTGTGGATCATTTGCTGTTGACATTTGATTATTGATTATTGGGAAAAATTTTACCAAAATCACTATGACCTGAAGAGGCTTTTTTGAAAAGTTTCATATTCAGTGGATATTAGGTTGACAATTCTAATAATTTCACGTGTAATTAAATAAAATATTTTACTCTAATGAAATGTCAGATTGTCCAGGATGGTATGCATGTGTAAAGGGGCAGACACTTGGAGATGATCCATGATGCAGGCAACTTGCAGTCCGGAAGACAAAGTCTTCGTCCTTCAGAATTTGTGTAAGGAGGTGGATCAGTGGCACGTTGTGTGAGAGGTTTAGACTGTGAAGGACAGATCATTCCTCAAGTGTAACACGTTGGCCCTGGTGGACGCTTGTAACATAGACGTGGATCACAATCAGTCTGGCCAATCTCAACATCCATATGGGTGCAGTCACCCAGGCTGGGAGCAGTTACACCTCCATGACTGCGGACTTAATGCCTAGAGGTTGATCTTAATAAATGACTCCTACTTGGACGAGTGCCTTGTGAAGAAGTAAAAAATAACCCAGGAAGGTGGGAGACCACCATATTACTGAGCAACATGGTGATCAGGTAGACTCCTCAAGGAAATTTGTCACAAACATTTATTCACATTGTGTATTCAAGAAAGTTGTTTGGAATATTTTGTTTGATTCAATGAGTGTATATATTGGTGAAGGATGAATGCAGAAATGAAATTATCCAGGATGTAGCTGCCAAGGGACAGTATACCTGTCCATATCGGTTGAAAGCTTATAGTATCCTGGATGAAGGAAATGGTCTTCGCTTATGAATATGTTTCTAGCCCCTAGCTGGTATGAAACATACCTGTTTAAATGTAGCAAAGCACATACCAGGCACGATTCTAGAGCTAATCTTTTGGGGGGCTATATCCCCCACCAGATGTCTCCTTTGAACTTTTACTACTGTTCTGCTGTCTTTATGTTTGCGTTGTTTGGGGGGAGGAGCTAGACAAAAGTTGGGGAGTTCTAGAGGTCCCTTAGAACCCTGCCTGGCATGTACATTTATTTATGCCCGATTGACAGATTTTGTACCAGTAGGAATAAGGAAACTGTATGTACAATAACCATGTATGAAACGAGTTGGCTGTTTGTAGCAGCAGCAAAATTATATTCATTATTATGTATTCATGCAAATGAGGTATGTATGTATGTAAATTGCTGAAAAGTTGCCACATTTTGTACTGTATCTTCCCTCAGTTGAAGTGTATCATCACTTGTAAAGGAAGAGATATTTTGTTTACAACCTGGCTTATGAATGCACATGCTCATGCTATTAGACTGAAACTTCAAACAAAAATTGGCTGCGTGAGCTCGTCGCGTCCCATGTCAAACGTGCATGAACCTGCATGCAGACGTGGTAAGTTCCCCACCAAAGGACAGTTTGTTATTTAAAAACGAGTCCTATCTTTCTTTCAATCAGGTTGGGAATGTTTATCCATAATCTTAATCTTTAATAAGAAAAACTGTCAATTAAAACCAATTTAATTCTGAGTGCCCTTTCATTTTTGCAGATTTGCCCATTCATGTCAAGATAACTTGCCATTTTTGAAATGTCTTTGCTTTTACTCAAGGTTTCTTCAAAACCCATGGGTGAGTAATAGATTACCTTGAAGATTTACAAGGGCATGGTGAAAAATATACCATATTTGTTCAGTCTAGAGGTAATGAAAACTCTTGAAAATCAGCTTTAATGTGGTGTGTGTATTGATTTATTTCATAAAGAAATTTCAGTTGCATACAATTTGTTCAAATCTTACATTCTGCAGCGATTAGTGCAGTTACATCTGTTGCTTGCACATACTGCATTCTTCCTGTTACTGTATGTCATAACTTAAAAGACAAGTGAACACTGAAAGTGAGGTACTTGAAATGGAATCGTACATGACATATCAAACCAAAACACTTTATTCTAATGCTAAATATTTAAATAATTTCATATCTTTCTCAATTTAATCACAGTGAAACTTTACAACCCCCAAGAAACCAGTCGATAAGCCAAGTAAAAAAAAATGACTTTTTGCAAGAAAAGAAGAGTGACGGTCTCTGTGTAGTTTATGATTTGACTTGAGTTTTACCTCTAAAAGGAAACCCTTTCATTTGATTGTTCTTGGTAGTTGTCAACCAGTTGATGACCACAAAACATCTATGTGTTTACTTTGGAACATTAGGCAAGCTTTTTAGAAGGAACATCAGTGCTGCAGAATAGAAAGGGTTTTCACAAACAATATGTACCCTCATAAAAGAAAATGGATTTTTGTGACAGGTAGATGTTAGAATAATGTATGCTCCAAGTTGGCCAAGTAATAAACAAGTGCAAAAAGAACAGGAAAACAAGAGAAGAGGTCTAAGTGCGTGCATTATTGGTTGTAATAAACATAAATTAAATAAATAAGCAGTCAGTTTCATTTCTAGAATAAGAATCTAAGTACCGAGACCATCTTCAAATAGAGTTCTTGAACATTTTCAACCAAATGGTCAGCAAAGGATATTTGCAACCCTGTTCATGGCATCGATTCAATCCACAGGAAAACGCAGTCTTGAATTCTACATTTGGAGCACGATATGAGACGGAGAGAACTCACTGCTTTGTGCTGGTCATTGTTTTAATTCTTTTCAGACATCTACGGGATGTGTTATGTAACAATAGTTTGGGGATTGGACATATGAGGGGACCCCTCAGGCTAATTTTTTGCTGGGTATAGGTTGTTGTGTTTGTGAATGCAGGATGGTAACCTGTTTTTCAGCTGATAAAGTGGACTGCATTCGTCCAATAGCTATTCTAGTTGACAGCCCATTAAGTATTTGAGGGATTCTCTACTTTTTGAAGCAGCTGTTGTTTCAGGGGTGGATCCAGGGAATTCTAAAGGGGGGGTTCATGCCCTTTACTTTTTAATGACTGATTGTTGTTGGCAGGTGCACACAATGAATTACTGTTCACTGATGTACATGTATTCTTCCTTTATAAATGTATGGTAGGATGCCATCTGTTACAAATGATATTTACTTTATTTTTTTGGGTCAGACAGGGAGCGGGTTGACCCCCTGGGTTCTGTAATCGCGTATAAATCTTCACGATCATGACATCGGGGGGCATTTTCATCTCACGCTCACCAAAGGCATTCTCGCTCGCTTCGCTTCAGGAAACGTTTTTTGTTGCAAGCTCAGGTAAGTCTTAGCAGAAATGACTACTGAATTCTCTCGACAGTTCTTCTGTCATCAGTGTTTTGAAGACAAAAACCTAGATTTGAAGACATTTTTTGTTTCCATCTGGAAGAAATGCCGAGACACGGAGAGCATCGCTGATCATTATTTAACGATGCCTTACGAAACACTTTATGGTAACAACGCAAACATCGCTGCAGACAGTCGGGAGAGTTGGTTGGCCTAAAATTTGCCTACTGTAATGCCATTGAGTCGTCAAAGAGCCTAGATGTACGTTTGCATTCACTGTGAAACTCTAGGCATTTTTTGGTTGCTCAACGTTGGGTACCAGGCTAACCATTAGGCAAACATTACCGGACCTCGTTGATTCTCTCCTGATATTATGAGTAGACTTGTCTCTATTTACCCAACGGCTGTAGAATGTGTTATTTGTAGTTCATCATGTCGCACTTGTTTTACCCAGCGTTATGCTGCACTCCAGTCCCAGCAATTCACGTGCTATTCCGCGTTAAGCAAAAGTATGCTATCGACTTCGGGAATGGACCAATTACAATGGCATAGCTAACTCATATGATATTAAAAAGCGGCGTCTGGCTATTGACTTGAATGCCTCCACCCCCTTAAAAAACCTTGGAAGGGTAACCTCTTATTGAAGAGCACCAGAGGGCGCTATTTCCGTCCTACATTGTACGTGGTAGCAAGTCTCTTTGGTCGTGTAGTATTTGAGAAAGTGTACCCTGTCAATACGTACTAACACGTACAGTTGCATGTACTACGATGTCCCTCGCGCTCAGTACCACTCCTTTATTTTGGCCATTTTTCCCCCAAACTTATGCAGGCCCAAGAGCCGACCATAGATAAAATACATCGAATTCCAGTGGGGCTATCGGTTTAGCTTCGGGAGGCAGTATTGCCACCCAGGGCATTTTTTGCTGAAATTCTCAGAACTTTATTATTTTTTGGGTAGAATGACGTTCACACAGCGACTGTCTGGTTTTGAAGTCTTACATACAGTTGTCATGGCCTTTGGGGTAGAAGGTTTATGGTTTTTGAGACTGATGCAAATTAACATAAAACTTTGGGAGCTGGTTTTTGTCCAACAGAGGTCATTCTTTGTATTTACGCTACGAAAAATAGCACGCGTTAATTGTCTTCGTGGTGCTTCTGCGCACTGATAGGCTTGGGCCGTTTTCCAATACTCAGCCTCGGCTCCGTCTCAGGCTTCAACTGTTTTTCTACTAGCTGACTTTGAAGCTGTAAGGGCAGTAATCAGTCTAATAGTACATCAAATAAGATGCAAGAAAGCCAAAAATTACAGTAATCCAATGTGATTTAAACGCTTCAGTCCCACAATCAGGGATTGGTTTTGAGAACGAAGCCTGAGACGGAGCTGAAGTTGAGTATTGGAAAACGGCCTTGTTCAATTTGAAGCATGCGCTGCGCTTTTTGATGTATCCTGCATAGTACCCTGCTCAATACTGTACTTGATGTGCGGAAGTTGATCGGCGACCAGTTTTCCACGTGCTATTTCAACATGAGTGGCACGGCATTAGCATGACAATGCCCACGCGTCAGAACGCGTGTGTGGCCATGTTGGCGGGTTTGTTTAAATGTGACTTCAGTCTGTAGACGAGGTGGGTTTAAAGGTGAGAACTGTTATTGACTTAAATAGCCTGGTTGTTTACGAGATTTTGTGTTTTGTTTGAATCGTTTCTATTATGGCATACAAAAGCATATATTATGAGATTGCACGATCACTCCCTGTGATGAAAATAGTGCATTTTGTTTCTAATGAACTAAGCTTTCCAGTAGTGGTGAACATTTTGTTGGCCAGTCTTAGCCAAATTCGTACCAAGTCTTTGACACCGATGTATTGGATAGAGGAGAATAAAATTACAAACTTTGCATGGATAATGTATCAAAATGGATGGTGTATCAAAATTTAAAAAGTTTATTTACGATGGCAAAAGCAGGTCTAATATCAGGGATTTTGCTTTTTCAATTTCCTTGTCACAGCGATAATTTGTATTTAATCGTAAGCAAAAAACTACAAGTAGGCTTATTGCTAGGATATTACTAGCCCTGCTTGTCCGGCTAAGATGCAGGCAGTAATCGGGCATTTTTGGAATGTTTTCTATTCGTCTGACTCGGTGGCAACCATCATTAAACACTTTGAAGTGCCTGAGTTACAACTCCTGTGTTTTTCCTCTGTTTCAGTGAACCTAATGAAAAATTTGGCAGAAATTTGAGTCAATGTTGCATGGAGATTTGCACTAATTGCCCGATGGAAGTCTTAAAATTGGAGGTTGCGCTAATCATTTCTAATCAGAAGTTAAAATTATTTTCAAAGATTCTGCTACGTCAAACTGATTTTGGTTGGGGTATTTTATTGTAAAATCTTTCTGTACTGAAAATAGAAAGGGGAGAAGTCTAATTTACATAACTGTCCTCTTTGTTTTGTTCATCTGTCTATCAGCTGTCTGTATGTTTGTCAATTTATCTGTCCGTTGGTCCTATGTCTCTCCTTCCCCTTTCTTTCTCAGTCATTTTCTCTCAGATGTGAATTTTTTTCTCCATATCTTTCTGATCCTTCACAGCCCTCTGAGAATCGGCAAACAGGATCCCCACTCATATTGTCTTGCCATTTTTTTCATTTTGCATGTTTTTAATGACTTTTGTGCATTCATTTCAGCCAGAGCAAGCTGCTGTTTGGTCGTTGCTTTCAGGATAATCAACCTTTCCCGGTTTCTTGATGATGGCCATTGTTGTTTAAGTGATTGTACTGTGATCTCTTGCTGCAGCCTTCTTGGTAAAACGTGAGTGATTCTTTGTGACTGGTCATCCCAAAGGTATGACTCACTGATTGTATCTCCTGTGACCTCAACCCCTCATGTCCTATAGGCCTAGCACATTAAGACCTACCCCACTCACTGTCTTACGATATAGCATGTGTAAACAAAGTGTGACATTATTATGTCTATTTGATGGTCATCTGGGGGGTAGATAAATTTATTTTGTGCCCTATACTGGGTGACACATAGGGAGCCATAACATAACTCAAACAGTCCCAAATCCTCAGATTTCAATATGATTTCACATACACCTTTGGAGGTTACGGTTGACTGTTTATAACTTTGGACTGTTTTCTGCACAGACTGTGATCTGTATTGGCCTTTAGTTGGACTGAGAGAGAACACTGTTTCCTTGGCATCAGAGGTTCCTTTGATACTAACTGCGCATCACTGGTTCATAAGCGACTAGGACATGCAAGCAGCCCCATCACTACCAACAAAATATGTACTCCCAACCAGCACGGCCCTCTTCAATCAATTAGGTTGTGCCTCTACTTAAGACAGATAGCATTTTGGGATGACAGTTGAAACCTTAATTAGAAGAGGTTGTTTGGCTGAAAAAAGGTGGGATTTTTAAAATACAGTCCCAGATCAACACTCCTTGTTTTGTGGGCTTGCATCTGTAGATTGTTCAAACTAGACCTTAAGAACTACAACAAATAGAGGGATGTAATTTGTTAAATCACTGCTTACAGGCTTGAGGAAAAGACTTTTTGGGAAGTGTATATAAGGTGTTTGGAAGAATAAAATGTACTTGGCTAACCAAGCACAATTGAAGAGAAATGAAAAGTGACAACTAAGAAGATAAAGAGATTTTTATATGAGAAACTCCAATGATGTGGGCTTGTATATTATTTGGCCCTGATGTTTGTTCATTTGACACTGATTTCAACGATGCTTCAATTACTGCTGTAAGGTGCAACCTATATTTTGAAATGGTGGCCTCGACGAGTGTGTAGTAATACATATTGGAATTCAAACATGGTTTGTTTAGTTTCCCTAGTTTCAGTAGTTTGACAGAGAGACAAGCGCAAGCTAGTCCCTGGAGACAGTTCTCTAACAAATTAGAGATATCTTATCGCCAGTGACACTACTCAACAGGTATGGAAACAGTCTACTTCATATTCTGATATTACTCCATTGTAATTGTAATAATGATGTACCTGGTTGTTTTTTAAATATTGACCTTGGGTTTTGCGTTATAAACTTTTCAACTAATGAAAATCTCCGGCCTTTGGGGCTGGGTTGAATTTAACTGAAATTTGACCAAAAAAATGGAGGATGGAATTATTTGGTGTGGTTGCAACATTTGTGCCAAAGTGAACAGAAACAAGACAGAAGCTGCATCCACAGGTTGGTAGCAGTACAGTGAATGAGGAGTGTACTGAAATGTAATGTCCTCATTCTTGGGTCCAAACTTGAGTGGACACATTCCACAGGCGTCGTTAAAAAAATCTGGACTCTTATTTTATTTTATCATTACTTATTATGATTACTCATTGAAGCAATCCCTGTGTCAATTATATTAAAATCTCAATGCAATGGCTTGTAATTACAATATGGCATGCTAGCCAACATTCACAGATGGTTGCTTGTGGCTTCAGTTGGTACAATTCACTCTTGGCACGCTGTTGCCTTAGGCATGCAGAGTCTCGATCTCGATCTCTACAAAACCGGTTCAGTGATTCCCAGGTATGTTGCTGGGTAATTCTGTGCATGCTGCATCAGATCTTGTACCATATGATTGGACAATATTTTAAAGCTACATTGGTACAATTATACAAACTGCCAGATCGAGGCTCTGCCTATGGCGGCAGTGTGCGAATAGCAGTGTGAGTCCAGAGTTTCTTTTATGATGCCCTTGACACAGGCTGGCTTCTATCATACACACCAAGGTATGATTTAAGCCATATCGACCATAATTCTTTGATGTTGATTTCAATCACATTTATCTGGAACCACATGCCTGGAAGAAGGTCACTCGGGAAGAGCTTATAACTTTGTTTTTCTCCACCTTTGTCAATCCTCCACCACCCTCTCAGAATCAGTGAATCCAGGCTAATATACTCATGCTGTATTGTCATTTCTTCCTTTTGCATGTTTTTAATGACTGTGGTGTGTGTCCATTTCAGCCAGAGCACAAGCATCATCCTGTACATCCAGTTTCTTGATGTTTCTTGCTTGTAGTTGAGGTGATTGGTACTTTGATCTCTTGCTGTTGCCTTCTGGGTAAAAGGTGAGTGGGTCCATCGTTGTTGGTCATTCCAAAGGTATAATTCACTGATTGAGTCTCCTGTGAACTTATTCCATACTTTTTTGTAATGCCTGATATATGGACCTGAAACATAATGATGTCAAGCTATTATTTTCTACTTGGACAATATTGCTTCACCTCACTGCCTTAGGAAACGCTGCTAGCTGCACATGTAAACTGAGCATGATGTCATTATGTTACAGGTCTCTTCTCTTTACAAAAGTTGGCAGGGACGGAGATCTTTCTTGATGGATAAATGTAATTTGCACCTAAATCTGGTTAACATACCTGTGTATGGGGAGCCATCATTTAATACCATTGTTAAATTTGGGAATGGTTTCTGCACAAACTATGATTCCTTGTATAGCAATTGGGAATGGCAGGTAAAACGTGAAATATCAGAGAGTGTTTGGCCAAACCCCTCAGGTGTATGAAAAATCATATTGTAATCGGGGATTTGGGACTGCCTTAATTAAGAACTATATTTTTACTTTCTGGGGCTGCTAAATGAGCCCAAGAAAGTTGAGGGGTGTCAATTATAAAATGGCTGCTTCCAGGCTTGAGAAATATGACTTTTCAGGAGTTGTGTTTGCTGACCAACCAACAATTGAAGAAAGTTGAAACAGAGGCTAATACGAAAATGACAGTTTCGTATTAAGGCATCCCAGTGATGTCTAGTTGTATGTTATTCGGCCCTGATCTTTGTTGACTTGACTCTGTTTTCAATGTTGCCTAAATTGTTTTGGTGGCTCCTCAGTGAGTAGTCACACAGGCTGTGATAGAAACATAGTTTCTTTGCTCTGTTAGTTGTAGCATTGATGAAGAGACAAGGCCAGACCCTTGGGAGACAGTTTTCTGGATTTTAACACATCACAGGCAACTGGTGCATTACTGACAACACAACCTGCTTGGTAAGCACTTTATATCATGTTCTGAATTTAGCCTAATAATGAAAGGCATGTTCCAGATTTGGAAAAAGGAGCTGTACGTAATTTTGTATACATGTACGGTTGCGAGGTAAAATCTGGAGCATGGCTTATCAGGCTCCACTCTTGAGGATGACGAGAGCATGCTGGTTGAAACGTCAAGTACACACTCTACGGTTCCTATCGGAACCATACCTCTTCCAAGGGAGATCCATCCACATGATGTAACCACAAGCCCTGTTTTTAGTCCCCACCATGTAAAGCTTCAAGTCTTGTCTAATGAAGGTGAATACTTAGGGCAGTTATGCTTCCTGGTTTCCCATTTGTAAGTTGGTCTTGTAATTGGATGGTTTTGCAGCAAAGTTGGCTCTATATAAGGCCTAATCCTAATTAAGCATTTGTCTTTGACGGTAGGGTTGGTGAAAATCAACTGATTTTGTTTTCATTTTGTTGTACATCTCCACTGAAGATATTCCCAATTTAATGTAAATGTAAAAGAACTAGACAAAAATGAAGGGAAAAGCTTGGGTCAGTTGTTGTGGTTGCTAGTAATCTTCTCCTTCTTGTACATGTTAGTCGATCTGTTTCAGTTCTAAATTTGGTCTCTATATATGAGGTTGAATAGTCTCCAAATGGTTGAAAATTCTGACCTAGGCTAATTGTGATGGGTATCATCTCTTGTACTTTGGAGAATGTTTCATTTCCATATTTCCAAGCGTAAGAAAATGATCCGCAAAATGAAGGCCATGCTATAAAAAGAATTTTCTTACTCCTTTTTTAGTCTTGTGAATTTACTCATTTAAAAAAGTATACAGTTTTACTTAAGTCCTCTGTGCCCTCCTTTTGAAGTGATTTTATTGGCTTGTTGATAATTTTGTCTTTCTGTCACTTGTTATCTGTCTCATGCCATCTCTTAAATCATGTTATCCTAATTAAAAATTTGTTTGAGACTTTTTTACGCCTGAACTACCACAATTACGGCCAAGATTTGGACTCTAACATTGTGCCTATCTGTTCTACTTGTTAGTCTTCTGCTGCTGGTTGAACAGTGATATGCTCCATGCTGTGACATGCTCAACCTCTCTCATCGTTTTCTTATCTTGTCTGTCCTGGAATAGCATGAGCAAATTCTGGGTGCAATATCTGTTGTAAAAGTACACTGACCATTTTTAGGGGCAATAAAAGTAACAACAGCACGATTTTGATTTCCTCAACAAAACAGAACTGGTAATTTGCAACTGTTGCAGTGACCGTTTGTCTTGTGGTGGCAGCAAAAGGTTTTGTTGAAAAGGTTCCTATTTTGCATGGCTTTTCTATACCATCTGGTGTACCTCAAGGAAGTGTCTTTAGCCCAATCCAGTTCTTATGTATACCGACGACTTTCCTTATCACATCGTGTCAGCTAGCACTTTATTTGGTAACAATGCTCTTGTGTATAGGCCAACATAATGTCAGTTTGATGACCTTCAAGGTATTCATGGCTTCCAAAGATGTTGTCATGCTAATAAAATGCATCTCAGTACATTACTAAGGAAACCAAAGGTTTGCATATAGGATGGTTAAAGAAAATAGTGGACCTGAATTTTACCTTAGTTAACATGTAGTTTGAAGCTGATAATGAGTACAAAATTTCTCGGGAAAATCTTGTTATGTCACTACCAAATCAAACAGACTTATTATGTTTTGCTTTCATCTTGCAAGTCTCTGGTGTTGACTTTTCTGGAATACAAGTAGCCTATCTGGTACCTTCACAACAGAAACCTTATATATTGACAAGTTAGAACAAAATTCATGTTGAGCAACCAGAATAATTCTCTAGTGAAGAAGATTTAAAATGGATTACATGGATTGGTTGCATATGTACATTGAATTTGTCTTTGCGTGAATCTAAAAGCGTCCATCTTTTGCTTACATTTTTGTTTAGAGGTCTTCATAGAGCTTTTGACCGTGAAATAGTCTTAGTGAACAGGTGGTATATTGAAACGATCAGGCTGGACAAACCTTAGGGCACGAATTTAAAAACTTCATCATTTTGCCAATTACATGCTCTTGAAATGAACTACATGTACCTGAACGTTTGAGAACTGAAGTGGTTTAAATAACCCTTCCATACCGGATCAACTTACCAAGTACCCACTTGAATTTGAAAGTATATGAAACTTGACAGAGTACTGATTGAATTTGCAGTGGAGTACCCTTGTAATAAGGTCGTTGGGACTGGCAAGTTGTGGGAGGGGCACTGTGCTGTTTGGTGCAAGGAAGCACAAAATGGGGGGATTTGAATACCTAGGATTTGCCATGTGGGCCAGATGTGTCAATGGTTTTGCTTTTGTCGGTATTCAACTGTATTTTGTTATTTCATGGTGTCTTTCTTTTTTTCGGTTTTTACACAATAAATTTCTTTCATTGTTTTGAGTTACTTGTTGATTGATTGATTTGTTTCTGTAATTAATTTAATTTTGTTATTTTAATGTATTTGTATGTCATATTTATCTGATTTTTGCCAACTGAATGTACTTTTTCTTTTCGATTTATTTATTTGCCATTTCTTGAATCATATTTTCGTTGTGCTGTGACTTTATTTTGTATATGTGTGCACGTTTATGTAAAACCTGGAACTTCAGAAATGAAAGTCTTACGGGTGACAGTTATTGGATGAACTGTTTCCTCTCCGGGCATTGGTAATGTTTGTGTTTGTGATTTCAGTGTATTATATGTCATGTGTTTTGTTTAATGTTGTTTCTGTTCTTTTTCATGAAAAATGCCAAATAAATGAAATTGTTTCCCTCATTGTACACACGTTAGTTGGTCTCTTTTGGTGGAAGAGTTTTTATCTCGGAGGTTAAGTTAGTTGACAAATGGTCCGAATGTTCGAGGTTGGCGTGACTGGACAAGAATGCACATTTCACTATCCACTGGAGATCATTTTATTTCGATATTTGGAAACATTAAACAAAAAGGCCTCGTATTTTTGGGGGTTTTGCATGCTACACACGTCAAATGCCCGCCCCGTTGTCTTTATATCCGATATTAAATTGTCAAGAGATGGGCTGATCCTGGAGTCTTTGGAAAGGTTTTATGTTTGTTATCCAAAAAGAAAATTTCATGACATTTTGCAACAGAACAGAAATGGGGGTCAGAGTTTTCCTTAGACATGCTTCCTATTTCGTTCGTTTTCGCTTTGTCCACACGGTAGTCGGTCTGCGTCTGCCGCTGCATGTCTCTATAGCCGAGTTTACAGTAAATATTCTGAAACGGTCAAAATGGGCTGATCTTGATATTTTCGGAGACGGTAAATATTTCTCTGTCCACAGATGTAATTTTCCTGTCCATGTTTAAGCTGAAGCTTTGGAAATACCTGCGAAAGAAGGCTAGAGTTGTCCCACTGCTCTTTGTTCACACCTTACCGAGACACCTCAGCCCACAGTGTGACCCCACTATTTTAGCCTAAAAAGTTTTAAAATGCATGAAATGTGGTAAACATGATAACAACCAAAGGACACATGTTCCTCTATCCATTGACGTAAGTTTCATTTTCATAATAAGCTGAACAAGGCAAGAGTTCTTGTCTGAGCTAGTGCTTCCTGTGTTTTTGCAATTTGTCCTTTGTTCACACATTACTGGTCTTCCCAGCAGCAAATCCAGCTTTGGCGTTGGGGGAGGGGTCCAAACTGAATACAGTTTCGGGCTTATTCAGCATGATTTTGGGGAAGAAGAACTTTCAGAAGCGTGACGGTCGTGACGTCCTTGTTTTTATGTCGTGGTGTTGGTTTCCTAGGGTATTGGCGCTGATATACTCATTACTCTCTTTCTCACACACCTACGAAGTATTTTTAGTGAACAAAATTCCGTGTGGCAGGAGCATGCCCCCCCTTGCGTCCACTGGCCGGACTATTGCCTCTTCCTGGGCAGAGAATGGCTCCATTATATTCGAGCATAACAGTTCAGAAATTTGTCCACATGTGTCATTCATGGCGGCATCTGAAATAGTACTTATTCCTCTATCCATTAGTCGAAGTTTCAGATCCAAATTTGTTATTGTTAGGGAAATACCCATCGAAGAAGGCAAGAGTTCATGTCTCACTGCTTGTTATTTTTGTGCAGTTCTCCCTTCGTGCACACTCTACTAATCCTCTTCCTGGGCACATGGCTCAATATTTGAGCATAAAAGTCCTGATGCTTGCTACTTTTGTTCAATTTCCCTTTGCCTCATTTTACCGGTCCTCGATCTTCCCCAGTAAAGATGGCTCCCTATACCCGGGCATTAAAGGTCTAAAAGTGCAT